TATTCAGAGGAATGGAGACCTCTTGTCCTAAGAAATTAAGATTAAATCTTAAATCTTGTCCTAAGAAATTAAGAAATCCTAAGAAATTAAGTCAAAGTTACATTTGTCCTTTCAAGCACACCTTGCTGGACGACATGCTTTGACAAATCCCAGAGAGACTCTGTTACACAGGAGTATTAATACATACTCAGTATCGTAAGATTTATGTAAACATTGAGCTCTCACATCTATTATCTTAGATGAGTTTGTCAGATAGAAAAGTTACTTCCTTACTCTAAAAAGGGCTACCACATGAGACAGGCCTTTCCTCAGTTATAATGCTTCAACTTTGATCCTTATGGGTCAACTTACCCAACTTGAGACATTCTATGATTCTATGAACGGTTCATTAATACTTGGCTACCCTGCTTGGCAGAGTAACCTAACTTAAGGATATGGAGATGTATGTTCTTCCTTCCTTTACCTCACAAATTGTTCTTCTGGAAAGAATTCTACAACTAATTGCAAAGTTTCATAATAAACTTTAGCTCTAAAAATTCATAAACCTGAATATTTTCTCTGCTCCATGTATGTGGTGTCTTGTTGGCCAACAACTTTAAATCTTGGATTGCAAGCCTCTTCACAGCCTTCCTGGGGTCATTCTTCAAGTACTGCAACAAAAGCTGGATCTGCAACAAAGTAAATTCATTGTTTAAGAGAGAGATGCCACTAAAAGGAAATCTCTTCAAAAGTACTTGAAGAAATTTTGAGCATACTCAGCAAAAACTAACTTGTCTTACCTGTTTGATTGCCTGCCACATGGAAAAGCCCCTACTCAGGCTGTGATGCCATGGCAAGCTAAAACAGTCTGACAGCCAATTTCTACCATCCTGCTCTCCTTGCTAATGCACCCTTCTCTACATCACCCTGCATACCTGAGAAGCCTTGAGACCTGTTTCAGCACTCACAAAAATACCATAAAACATCCCTGAGGAGCTCAGTAAACACTTCATACTGTTGTGATTATGCTACTGGCAAGTATTCTAGGTATCTGATGTTAGTTCAGGTGTCTGCATGATCTGCAGTTAACAGGTAGCAAAGCAGACATACCTTTGTATGTCTCAGTAGTTACCAAATTACCACCCAAAAATTGTCAAAAACAACCCCAAAAACCCAACCAGCCAGAGGGGGTGGGTAGGGGTTTTTGAAGTCTTTATCTCAAACTAAGTGACACTTAACTGCATGTCCTTTGTTGTGTTCATTTCCTGCAAATTTACAGAGATGGAAAGGCCAGCATGTGAAAAAGCATGAACATGCCAGCCATGATTTTGCTCTCCATCGCCGCCCTGACTATATCACTTTGAGGCAGCATTAGCTGTTTTGTTGCAGAAATACAGCCTAAATTGCCCTGCTTAACACCATAACAAAAAAAGCACATCAAGTGTTCTAATGTTGTTTCAGTTGACTTAGACTTTACTAATCAAAAGCATCCTCTGAAATACAGAATCCAGCCATACCAAAAAGACGTTTCCTTCCACAGCTGTACAGGATTGAAATAAAGCAAACAGATTTTCATGACTACTTTACAAGGATTAGTTACATGAATCTCAAATGTAACTGTGTTCCGACCTGCTATATACATCACATCCACAAAGCGTATTATCAGAACAAAAAAGCATTGTATTTTTCCATCACTGCTTTCCCACAACCTGTTTTACAGTTCTAAATTATAGCAACAGATTTAAGCTCCTCAGAGTTCTTCAAGAAATAAATTTTTAAACACACTCTATGCTACTGAAATACCCATTTGCTTGCATGCAAGGCAGGCAAAAGGCACACGCATGACCCAAGAGAACACACAGCAGTGAAAAGTGAATCCTGGGTTCTACAGGTAAGATGAAATGTTTTCAGAAAAACTCAGGGTGTTTGCTTTCCTAAATGCTGATTGAGCCTAGCTAATTTCAATCCCAGTTGATTTAAAGAAAGACCTTTAATAATAAATAACTTTATAATCTGTAAAGAAGGGTTCCTGTGGTTGATGGGGTTATCTGGAAATAGGACCAGAGGGCAAAAAAGATGAAAGCAGCAGTTTTGAGGGTATTCTTTCTTTATTGCAACTAGGAGCAACCATGCCAGCATATCCATCACGACTTATTTTCAGCACCAGCTAAAATCCAAGGTTTTTTTAAATGTACATTGTACCTCAAGCTGAAGGAATGAATTAGGAAGAATTACCTGTTTAGGAATGTCAACCAAAGAAGAAGCAGCAAGCAGAGTAAAAGTGTGCAGAGTAACAATGACCATCTTGGTAGAGGGATATGATGTAACCAGCTGCTGAAGCAGCTGCCGGGAGTTGGAGGCCAGGCTTGCATCATGATGCATGTGCTGCAGAATAGGGATCAGCTTCAATTTCAAGTCCACAGGTGTGGCCAAACCTGCATCAAGGAAGAGAAACATAGTGTTTGTCCTCTGTACTGGCTTTTGGCAGTACTAAGGCTGAATGCAGATTGCGCAGACACCTGCACTAGGTTTAGATAACTCATCTGCTAGCTAACAGCATAATGACAGCGGTATCAAGCACTTCCATGGTTCTTTGAGAAGGCTGCTCCTTGCTTCACTGTAGGTAACACACCTATGAACTCATCTGAAGCAACCTGTGATAGTCTAGGCAAGTTTTTTCATTACACTACAGATGAGATTTTGTTCTTTACCAAACAAGTGTAACTTGTTTGGTAAAGAACAAGAACTTAAGATATTTAAGAGGACACAAGAGCCAGATATCAGATTACTGGTTAGCTAATTTAATTAAAAACTGGAATCATGTGAGGAAAAAGGCAACAGCATTCTGATACCTCACATTTACATATGGATAATAAAGAATTCTCAGAGAAACTAGAGCTTATCATTCAATATACACACACCTTGAATCATCTCACTGATTTTATTACATATTCCAGCAGCAAAATCCCTGTAGAGAAAAGAAAAAGTACCAGGTGAAATGAAAAATAAAGAAATAACTAAAAATAAAAATCAACTGAACTACCACACATTGTGTTTTAACAATAAAAATTTTCATAAGAGTGGTTGCCAAGACCCAAGTCATTTTAGAGCCCCTGCACATGGGCATGATCAAATAATAAAATGGCAGCTTTCAAAAACGTGTTAGTGACAAGCAGCACTACATTTTGGTCCCTGAGACAATCTCTGTAAAATAATCCTTGATTAAATCTGCTGATCCACTTTGCTTTCCCATATTTATGAGCTTTCCATTACTATTTTAGAAAAAAAAAATCTCTTAAACTTGTAATCAGATCTCTCTATAATACTGTTATTGCACATAAGTAAATATTTTGCTATAAACGACACTGTTAGTACCACAAAAGGAAATATTAAGGTTTGTGAATGCCAGCGTCAATGGAATTCCCATTCTTTGTAATCTGAAAAAAAATTACATCTTACTTTGATTGTGCAGAAAAGTTGGCAGCAGCAAATATTGCAGCTTCAACTTCCACATTATCATGAGAATCCAAACTCTGACGAATACTGTGATGTGCATTCTTTCTTTCTGGAATAATAGACGCCATGCTGCCCAACATCCTACAGAAAGAAATCCCAGTCAAACCAGGAAGAAAAATTATTATGAAGAAATGCAAGATGACACCAAATACAAATGTAAAAGGACTGGTCAAAAGCTTATTTTTATATAAATGTGCTCTTTCATGTCTGTTACAGAAAAACATAGCTAAAAGGCAACAATTTTTGTTACGTGGGTTATGTCAGTGGTTAAACAAAAACTTAATTACATTTTGATACCTTCTAGCTTGAAACAGGCACAGTAAGAAACATCAAGAATTCTTACAAAATTGAGTGCACTACAGCACTGGGAACAAGTCTTTTTAAGATGCTTTTACATGCAAGCTCTAGCACCAATACAACAGATTTAATGCTAAAACATACTGATGGCTATTTTCAGACACACATGGAGTACACCTCATGGGATATAAATTCAGAAATGCAGTTATCTAGGGGGATAATAAAGCACTTAGAGAACTGTTTTCACCCTTTCTATCCCTCTTCACAACTAAGACTGCAGAAGTAAATGAGTGACAAATGTCTGAACAGTCAAATTTTAACCACATGCTAAGAAGGCATAGTTTCTAGAGTGTTACCATGATACAGTAAAAGTATCTGACTTTCATCATTTGTTTCTAAGGTTTTTCACTGATGTGAGATAAGGTTATTTTCAGCAATAGTGCAATATCTTCTGTGTAACTGCTCAAAAAGGAGTAAATCAATCTGTAGTTTGTTAAGAATATCTCAAAGATACTTTCCAGACATATTTAACATAGTCCAATTAAAAGAAGAATGAATGCAAGATTTGCAATGATGGCAATTTTAGCAAGAACACAAATATTTACACACAGTTATCTAGCAATAAAATTCCACAACCACAAGGTTTTGTTTTAGCAGATCTTTCCTTCAGAATGTTCTTTCTTACTGACTCTACTTAACAGAGGATAAAACTAAATCAACTGAAGATTTTAATCTGAATTGAACCAACAGCCATTTTAACCCTTCACTTGATGTGAATTGTGACTTGATCGGTAATTTAAGTATTTTTTCAAACTGAGCAGATTCCTGGGACTTTTAGCAGTCTGTAAAGACAGCCCTCAATACCAGTCAAAAAGTGTTATCTTATGTTAAAATACTGAAGTGGAACTACAAGAAAATACATAGATATACTGTATTTAGAGATTCCTGAGACACCAGTGCATGAAAGCATAATCTCAAATAAAATATCAAAAGAAGAAAGAAATGGACATATGAACTAGACAAAGCCCTGTTAATGCCTCCTATCTTTCAATAATGAAATCTGTAACAGTTCTAGATGGAGTGAAAAGAATACAAAGGGAGAAAGAAGAGCGCTCTCTTCACATTTAAATTCACTTCCACAGGAGTTGGAAGATACAGTTTAGATGATCACGTTGGATAGTGTTAGAGACACAGACACCAAAGCAGCAGGACAGTGACATTAAAGATAGCTTAATTATTTTTTCTATTTGATTCCCAGGACGTCCAAAACAAATAAGTAATACAATGGCACTTCCTTCGCAGTTATCGATCAGAGACCAACAAGCAGTAAACTTTTAGGACAACAATAAATGAAAGATAGGTGCAAGCATAACAAGGTTCACATAAGTAAGTTTTGGTTAGAAGTTAACAAAAAATATTTTGGCATGTAAGGAAGTACTTTCCCTTTTGATCCTGGTCTAAACATATCATGGGCACCATTCGATATGTTACATATAGCTACCCTCTGGGTTATGCATACAACCGGTTCATTTTTCTTCTCTTGAGTACACAAAATTTCAATGTTGCAAATTCTGTTTTGTCTTGAGCAATCCACAAAATTCTCACCATCATAAATGGCTAATAACTTTGTTCTTCTGATCACAGATTCTTACAGTTCACTTCCTTTAAAGACTGATGTCTTTGCTTTTAACTCTATGAGCAATGTATAAGGCGCCTCCTACCTTTCACTCATGGTAGTTGCACATTTTTTTATTCCAGACCAGCATACTAATCATTAGCTAGAGATTTGAACTTACGTTCATTTATGTAATACGTACCGAAGTGTAATAGCCCGAGCAACTGGATCATTGCTGTGAATTACTGAGAAAACTCTTTTGACAAACTCATCCACATTTAGGATCTTCTCTAAGTGCTTCTCACTCTGCTGAGTAACTTTCAGCACACACAGCCTCAGGAAGTTGTTTCTATTAGAAGACACACACATTTCTTTATCAGGCTGGTTTATAATAAAAATTCAAACACTTTGAACAATAAATTATTTTTTAAAAATTCTGACAGTAAATTAAAACAAGGAAAGGTCTATTCTTTTAAAACATTATATTTAAGTAGGCTGATACGGTAAAAATGAGACTTTTAAGACACTACTGTTTTATTTTCTAGTACAGGTAGTGTCAAGTTTAGGCCCAATTCGAGGGAAATGAACCTGCTGACACTACTGAGGAGCATGAGCCGATGCCCATTTTGTGCACACTTAGGGACACCACAGCACACCCAGGACTAAGACAGAAAAGTCTAACTGTCATTCCCAGGTATGAGTGAATTTCTTTTCCTCCCTGGAGCAAACAGCAAAGAATCCAGAAGAGCAACAGACACCTTTGTAAGCTATTACAAGGTAGCTCCCATTCCATCACATGTATCATTTAGGCTTCAAGCACTTGGAAAAGCCAGACTTTGGGCTTTGTTATTAACATTCCTTAGTGACGGAATTTGCACATATTCATCTATTTATAAACTGGAACATGCCTACGGAGCAGAATTTACATCAGGGAACTTAACAGTCAGTCAGCAAGTGAGTCCTCTGATCAGGACAGTCAGAGAAGAACTGTGTCACTGACCACCCAAAGCCACTTAAGCCCTTGGAGAAAGCAAGCTTCAACCCTGCACACCCTGTCCAATCTAGAGCAGGTACCGCCGTGCTGTTATCAGGCAAACTGAAAAACCCTGCGACCGCCCAGGCCCCAGCGCAGCAACGCTCCAAGACACGGCACATCCTTGCAGACGGGAGAGTTGAATGGGTACAAACCGAGTGATGCTACTCACCCCACTCTGAACACATCCGCCAGCTTGAGGAAAGCTGAATTGATGAGGATGGGGAAAGGGTATTTCTGGAAGAGCCTGGGAAAACGAACGACGGCTTCGCACTGCTCCCCGAGCTTCCCAGACCTCAGGCCTAAAGACAACAACAAATCCTATG